GCTCCCTTCACCGTGGGGATGCCCTCCCAAGCTTCCCGGCAAAGTCCCTGCTCCTCCTCCAAGGGTGGCAAAGCATTTTGAACTAAGTAGACAGCTCAAAGCTCCAGACACATCCAGTGTCTTCAGTATGTAAGATCAAATGCGTTTACTGAGGCTGTGCTTGGCCTCGGGGTGGTTCAGATCACTGCCCAAAAAACCATTGGACAAAGCAGACCCTTCTATTGTTCTGCCACCACCTAGCAACACAATCTTACTATAAGAGCTACCCTGGATACTGGAAACAAAGAGCCTCCTTAAACACGCTACAAAAGGACTATCACCTTCCTGCAGCTTACCCTTGCAGCTCATGGCACCACTCACAATGGCAATGCATCGATCCCGCCTCGTTTTCTCCCATCTGCTTGCACTCCAAGCGAGGTGATCTGGGCGGCTTTCATGATCTGTGTGCTCAAATCTGGTCATCGAAACCCAGAAGGCCACACTAGAAGTGAGCAGGTCTTCTTGCTGTTCTATTTGGCACCTGTGCCAATTGCACTCGTGCATGCAAGCTGCAAGTGAAACCAAAAGAGCAGCTCAATGAATCAAATCTATTGAATGCTTGTAGGTCAAGAACTTTTCCAAGATTGAATCACAACCACTCTCCTCGACCAGGTTGGTGATCGCATCGTGGGTCATGCGATTCAAAACACATAGTAGATTAAAGCAGCAGGTCAGGCCAAGAAGCTACTAGTAACAGGTGCCACGCTACTAGAAACAAGTGCCTTACTAGTAGTAACAAGAAGCTACTAGAAACAAGTGCAAATTGCTCACATGGGCAATGAACCGTCCACCCTGTTGAGTCCGGCCAACCAGCTCTTTTCAATCCACCCCACCTGGTCGGTACCATGCTCACCGGCACGGTGGCTGCACGCCGTGTAAGCTCCGCGCGCACCTTGGGAACCTGGAGGTGGAGGAGGCCCTCAACCGGGATATACTCAAAGGACTACTCAAAGGATCTCAAGGGCTAACAGGAACTGGAGAAGTTGTGGCGGAGATGTTTCTCAGTTCATTTAATATAGGTTTCATGATGTTTCATGTTTTGTTCTGCTCTTGCTCATCAACGGACAACCAAGGGAGGTGAAAGCAATCGCACCATGCATGGCAGCCAAAAGATCGTTTTTCCGCACAAGGCGTGAAAGAGGGGAGGTACATGCATGCTTTGGCCATGTATTTCGCTTCTGGCTACACTGAGATGAAATTCCAATCTCTGCCTGGTTGCACTTCAGCTGCAAGAGAGCAACAAGCGATTTCTACCTCTTGGATCTTCTATCAGCTCTGGCGATACTTTGTGATCCCTTGTCTTGGCTGCTCTTGCCACTCTTGCCTGATCAAAGGACCATACTATACAACTCCAAGTTTGAGTCGAACGAAGTTCTGTGCGCTATGTGGTCCTTCGGTCCCTTGGGCAGTCTTGAGCTGCTGAGAGCATGCGGAAGCTCTTGTGGCGCCATTTCTGGAGCTCCAGCCTCTTTGTTTCAGGGTGACACATCTGCATCTGCCATGACCTCGGCCATGCGACCAGCGTCTTGCCTCAGAGGGAGGAGAAGTGCGCTTTCAGCTGCTTGATGAGCTCCTTGCTTTCGATGTGCTCAGGGTAGGCCTCAAATTCACATCCACTAGCAGTAGTACAGTGGTGTGAGCCTTCAATACCAATTTGTCAGAGGACTCAAGCCTGAACCGGAAATAGTTTCCTGATCCGAGATGGGAAGGGACGTTCAAAGCAACTTTTTGACTGCCAACATCCGGGCCTCAAGTGCCTTGTTCGCCAGTTCGAAGCTATCCTGGAACTCTCCAAGCTTGAAGGCCTTAAGCAGGTTGCAATGCCTTCTAAATGCTCCTGTCCTATCCAACTCACTCAACAGGCTTTGAGCAGGCATCCAAGACCTGAGAAACCTGTATAATGTACAAAGGAGCCTGCTGACATGTTCATTGCCACCACTGGCTGGACTCTGCACAATAGCAGCCGCCGGTACATAGTTGGAAATCCCTGTCACTATCTATGAAACCAAGAAGGCGACCTCTGGCTCGTGCTCTGTGCGTTGGGGACCTCATCACAATCCAAGACACCAGGAGCCCTCCATTGAAGGCTGGCTCAAAGAGATGTGGGGCCAACCGCATGGCGGTGCCAAACTGCGCTTGCGCTTGCTCCACATTGCCCTGGACCGGCGGACAAACACAGGAAAAGGTGCCTCATGATGGAAACTCCAAGGCAACGACGACTGCCGCTGCTGGATTGGCTTTTGGAGGGTTCCATTTTTTGCTAGGTCGGATGATCTTGCAGCGTCGTGCCTGGTGAGAAAACTTAGGACAGGCTGTTTCGCTCTGCCTGTCCTCGTCCATGTTCTCCATGCCCAGCGAAAACCATCCAAATATGCCGAAATACGTAGATACTATGCAATTATATATTTGTGTATATATATATGTAATTACAGTATACATTTGCCTGTACGAAACTAGGGAGTCTCCCAACCACTCGCTTCCGATCCAACATACATACGCCCACAGAACAACTTAACATACTCTTAGACTTAACTTTAGCTCTTAATAACCCTGCAGATTCCTTCCGTCTCATCCCCGCTTTTTTATGAAAGCACGCATCAAAAAGAGCCTTTCGCAGTTCGAGGACGCCGATGTTGTTGTAGCTCTCCGCGTGGTTGGGATCCACCGAGATGGCGATCTTAAAGGCCTGGTAGGCCAGGCCCAGATCTCCCACGCCGATCGCCACCTGCCGGGCGATATTCCGAGTTCTGGCATCTTTCCTGGCCTGTGGCCCCGTTCGACACAAGCACACAAGTCACATTAACAGGACTTGATCACATCCACACCTGCCCTATGTTGTACCACACGTCAGCCATATTGTCATCATCTGCCAGCATAAGAGCACGTTCAAAGCAGCTAAGAGTGAGGTCATACTGCCCAGCGTAGAAGCAGCAAAGGCCCATATTGTTCCACAACTCCTTGGCAAAAATGTCACACGCGCGCGCACACACACACACCGTGACTGTGTGTCTTGTGAGACAGCACGGTTGAAGGCCACGATTCGTGATCCACTTGTACGGTACATAATTAACTATAAATACGTCAAACCAATTGGTTTGGCCAAAGGGGTCACACCATTCTCACCTCCCCCATGCTGCAAACATAAACCCTCCGGACCATTCCAGCAACGTGGCCGCACTCGTCACACCATTCTGCAGCATGCGCCGGTAGAAGCGCAGCGCAAGCTCCGGCTGATCAGTGTAGAAATGGTGGGATGCCAAGCAGGCAATGGCCTCTGAATTTACGGCATCAAACTGGAGCACCTTCCTGATTCAGGCGGGCCGGGCAATGTTGAAAAACCGAAGGGCCGTTCATGCACACAACCCAATCAACATCAATCATGCCCAACTTACATATCGGAGTAAACGGAGCGATCATCACCTGCAGCGCAGCGTCTTGTAAAAGCTGACGCCCCGCAGCAGTGCATTCAGCATGTCATAGGTCCTCGCCAGGCCGATCAAGATGTGCGTCTCGCCCGTGAACTTCTCAGCTGCCCGGCCGTATTGGTCCAGGGCGGAGTTCGGCTGATCTAAGCCTGAGGTGGACCGGAGAGTTTGCCGCGTCACTCCGCATCTCACCAATACTCTCCGATCATCAACAGCTCATCAAATCCTCAACAACCTGGAAACAATGGAGGCCTTGTCAATCGTGATGTGCACATATTTGACATATTTGCACAACCCCTGGCAAATCCCAAATGATGCTTCTCTGGATCAACAGCACTGTGTGGCTCATCCCGGGCAAGGGTTGGTCTTTTATTTGGAACAGCGGGGCGATTTGAGAACCATCAGAACTGTCCAAATTCAAAATACCGTCCAACTCACGTACATGGATAGGGCGAACGACCACTTGTGTAACAAGCCCTCCATTTCAGCACACCACTTAATGCTGCAGCCAGCTTTGTTTGAGGAGCCTCTACGGATGACGAAGCTTCAAGAACCTGAAGTCGAAAAGAGCCTTTAGAGAGCACTCCGACGTGCTCTCTCTGCCGAGAGCACTCTCGCCGCTCGAGCGCGGCCAAGTCTCGCAAGTAGACCTTGCAAAGCTCCAGGTGCGTGGAGATCATCTCCTCATCCTTCAGTGCACTCTTGAACTGCTTCTCGGCGTCTCTGAGCAGGCCTCAAGGGAGAATGAGTTTGACCTGGTGTCGGCCAAAGAGAACGGCACGGCGTCAAATCGAAGAAACATCAGAAGTGCTACAAACTCGGGGGCTGGTTCTGAGAATTTAGACTTGGCTGCATGAAGACAAATCTCCAAAGTAAAGGCTCAACTTGGTCCAATCGGCATGCTTAGCTCCCTCACAAGCGACTGGAATCACAAAAAGGCTAGAGTTTATAGAGCGGCGAAATGTGGCGAGGAGCCAAGCTGGTAGTAGGCCTTGCCCAACCGGGCCTTCCACCACCAGTCCTCCCGAGCTAGACGACTTCGGTTAAAGATTCGTCATGGCAATATTGGGCTCCAGCTTTCCCAACTGGTAGAGGGACTCGTGATCTATTGTTTCCACTCGCCACGCTCTTGTTTTTTGGTCAACAGTTGGGTCAACAGCGGAAGAGGAGAGGGCTTTCGGCTTTGTATCTTCTGCTCGCAAGCTGCGCAACAATTCGGAAGAAAGGCGAAAAGGCACCCACCTCCGAACTGGCGAAATCTTCAGCCCTTTCAGCGCCCTTTCTCTCCTTAAAGTCTACTGCCTGCGTGGCCTCCGAGGCCAACTCCAAGGCCTTCCGGGGGTTCCGGGCATAGTAGAGCCTTGGTTCAGCTCGGTGCGGGGCAATTTCAATTGTTCAATTGGATCTGACAGGGTTCAGTGATGGGGGTGGAATGGCAGCTTTGTTCTGTGGCCATCCATCCTCACCCCTCACCTCCTGAAGGTGTCCATAAACATCCGTCTAATTCAGGCCGCTCTCTTGACTCTAAACGCCAATCTCGGAACTCAAAATGCCTGTAAAGTAAAACATGCAATTGGGTGTTGATTTGGTGCGGAGCCCTCGCTTTGCTCACTATGAGTTGACAGAAATGCTCACCCGCCGACTACCAACTACCACCCTCAAACCAAATCGCCTGTCTTTGGCTCTCGGGCGTGGTTTGTTGCAGGGCAGAGAATCTGCCGAAATTGTAAAACCATCTCTGGTAAGGTACCAGTGCTTTAGAGGTCCTGTGCAAGGCCTCATTTCTGTACCTTGTTGGCACCTTTGCGTGGAAACGACGGCCTGCCCGGCTCACTCCTCTGCAAACGGGCTGGTGAGAGTGAGGCCATATTTCTCCTTCCAGGGCAGAAGTGTTTTGTGCAGCATGGCTCAAAAGCCCGATTGAAACTCCTCGGAAATCAATCACCTTTGTATATTTGTATATATCTAGGACATCGAAAGTGTCCGTCGGCAACTCTGCACTTACAAACGGATCACCAGGACTGGTCTTGTCGGTCGACATCGGGAACCATTTTTGCCGGCGTGAATACAACTGTTGCAACCATTTACGGCATATGTTCGCATATTGAAGACGCATATGACACTGTGACCTCCAGCAGTGCGCTAAATAAGCGGCATTCATCTTGTGGGCGGCATCACTTGGTAGTTTCAGCCGAGCTGACGTGTCATGTCTTCCCTCCCCGCCTTCGCCTCACCACAGGCATCGGCGGAGCCCACCACGCAAATGCCGCCCTTCTCGACGACCGGCTCCAGGGCTTCGCCGAACTTGTGGAAGTCCTGCAGTCCAAAGTGCCAATGGCAAATGAAGGCCGAAATCTCCGAAACATCTCGAAACATGTCCAAGACATGTCCATGAGAGCCTCTTGACTGCGTTGTCTTTCACATCCTTCTGTGGTTTTGCCAACCCTGCTCCTCCACAGTGGTGCCTAAAATCCTGAGGCTAAACTCTTCGCGGCTCAAACTCGGAATGTTCCCGTCCCGGCTGATTCTTCAGCTAAAGTCAAACGTGAGGTTGCTATGTGGTTAGACGAACACAACATTACTGGCAGATAGCCAGGCGAAAGTGCACACAACCCCACTGTAGTGTTCAGCAATATTTTTCTTAGCAAGCCCAGGCGCTGATCTCTGACCTTTTGCCTGTACTCATCATCCTCTTCCAAGAGGTACCGCAACATTGCGGAATATCCCTTGGCATCTGGCAGCTGATAGGCATCGACGTCTCCCATGCAGCCAATCACGGCCTTCACCAGTTCATCCTCTCCAATTTGCCTCTCAGCGTCGAATGAATCCGGAGGTGTCCAGCCTCCCCTCTCTAAAAAGCCGGCCTTGGAAACGAAGAAGTTTGGTTTCATATCTGGGCCCTCTGGGCCCCGGCCCCGGGCCTAGCCCTCTCCATGCCCTTGAACACGGATCTTTAAAGAGTCATCCCCAAAAACGTTGCCAAGTTGCAAGTCCTTCAGGAAGGCAGGGGCACCATCGTAGGTGTCCAGAGTTTGGCCCAGGTTGGGGTCACGATAGGAGAGGTACTTGAAATCTCCGCTCCGAGGGTCAAAGCGGCAAAAGCCACCATAAGCACCTCCGCTGACCCGCACCTTGTCCCACAGATAGGTGGCACCCAGCAACTTGGAGACCACCAGTGAGGAGCCGTGATAATCATAGCCGTTCTCATACAAATTCCCACCTTTCCCCACATAGTTCACCTGTGTCGGCACCACGATGCCATCAGCACGGCGTCCCAAGCTGGGGTCCAAGAGCACCGCTGGGCTGGCCTCGTCTTTTGGCAAATGCTCAGCCAAACGCTCCAAGGAACCCTGAGCAGCATCCAAATGCTCAGAGTCGGAGGTGATGTTCAAGATTTTGCAGGATGCCTGGTTGAAGATGCCTCAGCTCAAGTGCCAAAAATGAAACAGGCGATACCAACAGCTAAGAGCCAGAGATGATCAAGAAAAGGTTCGCAAGGCTTTTCCTATCACAAGCCAAGGGACATGCTTGCAGGGCCTTCAGCTGCTGCAACACACCATCCCAGCCACCCTTCTCGATTCGCTCCACAATGTCGGACAAAGACTTGTACTGCTCAACGCCGGTCCATTGTCCTCAGATTAGTTGCACCAGCATAGACTAGACACCAAATAGCATCTTGAATAGATAAGACAAACTCGCAAAACATGTATGGAACCTCTCGCTGCCTTACAACCACCAACTGGGGTCCCGGGTGCACAGCTAAGAACATTAGGGCCAGGGTATGCCAGGGCTATGTATAAACATGGGGTGGACAGACAGCGGGCCAAAATCAAGAACGTTTCTTGAAGAAAATGAAATGCAGGAATCCAGACAACCATCCAGCCTTGGTGGTCTGTGCTGCCAGGCCGGCGTTTGCGATCATGTGGCCAGAGGAGATAATGGCTGACTGGGCACGGGAGCGTGCCTGGGTAGCCAGCTGTACAATGCGGTCCTTGTTATCCTCAGTCGGAAGGGCAGTTCAGCACCCACCAGCTTTGGGACTTTGAGATCTATCACACTGATGAAGCCTATGGCCTATGGGCCTATGAGGAATGCCGCAGCACCCAAACAGTCAAAGTCCAACAAAAGGTTCATGGCTAATCCATGCTCATCCTAGGTTCAAAATCTGTTGTCAAAGCAATCTCCTCCATCAAGTCTGAAAGCCCAGACAGCTGGTCAGCCATCGACTTGCCTCGCATGAAGAGATACGCGACAGGCTCTGGATCGCCCTTCTTGTTCATGCAGATCGTCGAGGCTGCAATGCCTCCCAAGAGCCCAAGTGGCACCATCACCCCGTTACCGAACCATTGATCGCGTCCAAATTCCTAAAGAGTTGAATGACTACAAACCACGCATGCCTACAGCTGCCTACGCCTAAACCATCACGGTCAGGGCGACCCTTGAAAACGGGCATGGAGCGTTGCAACCGACGGCCTCCAGTGCCCATGCCCACACGCCGGGTAAGGTCCACAAAGTCCCCCTTGGCAGTGCCCAGCTGTGTCAAAGCTCTGGTGAAGAGTGGCACCAATGGCAGAAGCTCCTTGGACCAACGGCGAACAGTGATAACACACTCACTGTATGGAAACGAAGCCGTTACTATTTGAGATATGTCCAGAGTTGAGATGGTTGATGACTGGGGAGCACCTCAAGACAATCAAACAACAAAAAAGAACTCACACTCCAACAAACCCATTGAAACCCTGGGCCTGTGGCACCCTGGAGAGGTCAAAGGCAACGTCCATGTAGATCACCCCACTCGTGGGCAGTGCATGGCGCAAGACCACAGGCTCGGAGCCCTTCATCTCTGTGGGGATCTTGGGCGTCTCCTCGAATCTAGCACAACTGACAACTGGCGGCCCCGACCGCTACACTGCGCTCCCACCAAATGACAATAGCCAGCATAGCCCTGACCGTTAGGACCCTTGTGAGTACAGGGTCGCACCGATATCTCAAGCAAGGATATCTCAAATCTCAAGCATCTCCTTTGGGATGTCCGCCAGCTCCAATCCCGGCACTGTCTTCATGGCCTCGGGCGAGTCAGGCGTCTCCTGATCGGAGCTTTCGCGGAAGCAGCAAGGAGGCCAGCGACAGAAGCAAGCCTGAATCGCCAAAGGTGGTGGATGGTTAACATCCTCACTATCATGACTGCTCATTGTTTGGCCTTCGTTTATCACAGACTCTAGGACTCTAGGGTTGCATCTCGGAATCCAAATCGAGTGTCAGAATCTGTCTCACCAAATCTGCCCAAGCCATCATCATTTACCCGACATTGTGCCCACTGTCCAGGTTCAGGGTCATTGTGGGTCATTCTAGGACGACCATCGAAAGGACCGTTCTACTTCAGACTCCTCCGGTTCACAGTCTGCTCCTGGATCTCTTTCAGCTTCACTGTTTCGATGATCAGGGCTTCGATGTCCTCCTCGCTCAGGGTCTTTCGATGTTTCTCCAATGCAGCCTCAGCTGCCCGGCCCATCACTTGGTGGGGGACAACGATGGTTTTGATGTTCCAGCTCCTGCACCGGGACACAGGCTATTGTCGAATCATCAACGTACCGTATATACTTCCCTGGGGGTGGCGGGTCGCACTTGGAACCAAACCCGTTTGGACAACTCATGCCAAAAAGCGTGCGCGTGTTGGACAAAAATGGGAATCTCGACTCTGGACCAATAAGAACTTAGATGGCCCTTTAAGGGATCATGTTGTTGCCATCCACGTGGCTTTCTCATCCTCTTCCATCTTCTTTCCCACTTCCTTGCTGGGTTTGCTCTCGACAATCACCTGGGCTCACACCACAAAGGACATCCTCCAAGAGACAATTTACAATGCTGAAGCCTAAACACTGATGTCTGGGGATTGTCATCCTACCAAATATTATCCAATTGGGAATTATACAGCAATTCCTCATTGAAGCTTGATGACTGACCCTGTGAGCCACACAAGCAAGTGATTAGACCGTGGAGCAGTGAGACATATTAATTCCGAACATCTGACAAACTTCTGGTGGTTTGTGGTGGTGAATCTGCGGACAGGTGCCAATCGTTTGACATGTTGAATTATCCGTTTTATTGAACAAGTCGTTCCGCTCAAGTGTCCAGACTTAAAGTTGACTACTGCTACTGTCCTTTCGGCAAAGCCAATGTAACCCTGGCCTTGTGGGAATTCTCTAAGATCTTGGTGCGGATCAGGTCCTGGAAGACGGGCTCTCCCTTCTCCAGGCGCGCCTTCAAATCCGCCAACGGCTCCTCGAACCGCAACGCCTCAAAGGGGTCCTTGAGCGGAGAAGAGCAGAAGCTGTGGATCACAAGGCGTTGGAGGGGCGACATGGAGCTACTATAGAATTACACACTCTGCCGCTATGCCCTACTCTGTGTTGTAGTTGTAGGTAAGAGCGAGCCATTCTGCGTCATGTCGGTAGTAGCTACCTAGCTACTACTAGCTACCTAGCTACCTAGCTACCTATACCGACCATAGCTACTACAAGTAGCGCCCTTACCCCTCTTTAAAAAAGATAAGTGTTCCTTGTCGTAGTTCCAATTGTTGTTGGCCGCAAAGAGGAGTGCCAAGCCTTTGGGGAAGCTGCCTGTGTTCAGCTCGCGGCTGCGGAACTCGATGGTGTTCACAGCTGACTTGATATCGTCGCTCTCGAAGCCCTTCTCGGCCAACTCCTGTGGACAGCGATTCAGTGAGAAAGGCAGTAGCTAGAGGCTATTAGGTTGGAGGCCATCGCTATTAGGTTGGAGGCCATGGCTACTAGTAGCTAGAAGCTACTAGTAGCAAGGGCATTACTACTAGTGAAGAATCGGTTGACTTGACAAATGTCCACAAAAAGACATGGCCAAGCTAAATGAGGCAACACCTGTTTAAGCAGCTGTCATCATCATAGCGCTCAGCATGCCCTTGGTGGAAAAGGCGCCTATCCTTTCAGTGTTGCCCACATCAGGGAACCCACAAGGAACCATCAAGACATGTGGAAACATGTCTAGAAGTCTAGGCTAGACTGCTGAACGCACTGTGCGCGTGGCATTTAGATCCTCCAGGGTCTTCATCACAAGCTCCTCCACTTTGGGCACATCTTCTTCCTTCAAGTCCTCACTCAGTGGCTCTCATCGGCTGTTCTGAATTTTAGCCAATCTAGCTCTAGGGGCGACCTAGGTGCTAAGGGCTTAAAGCAGTACAGGACAACAAACTTCTCTCTTTCCTCCACTATATATCCATTTTTTCAATCAAGGGCCTCACTAAAACGAGCCTGGCGTCTTTTAAGCCGACGCTGAAGGTCGTTTGCAACATACCGTCATCCATGCCACCACCAATGACACTGGAGCCCATGCCACTGTCAATCAATGCTTTGTACAGTGGGCTCGCAGGCGTTCCCATCATCAGGTAGTTCAAGAACCTCGGCACCAAACAAAGTGAACCGCTTTAGGTTCGTCCCTGAACACATCAACCCTCTCTAGCAAGAAAAAACACACATCCCCTGGCATCCAAAGTCACCTAGATTACATGGTGAATCTTGTCATGCCAAAAGGCTGAAGGGCAAGGCTAGTCTCAAGATCATCCTTGCCCTCTGAAATCACCCAGTTCACACTGACCATGGTCTTCTTGGAGGTGTCCTCATCTTCACCCACCGCAAACTCTTCAACGACCCTGCGAGGCTCCTTCCACAAGGGTTGCACATCGATCTTGGAGTCCACCTGGCTGCGCACACATTGAAAGACAAGACTACCCTCAAAACTCAAGAGTCAAAAGGAGTCAAAAGGTCAAGAGAGTCTTTAGAGACACAAGACGAGAGGAGAAAAGACCGACTCTAAAGACTCTTGGCCCCCGCCATGGCCATCATGGCCCCCGCCTCGATCTTGGAGAACTCAGACAAGTACTTGTCCACAAGCTCGAGGCGGGCATCTGGAGGATCATCGCCATAGAACCAAAATTTGGCATTGCTTGGGTGGTAGTACTTACTGTGAAAGTCCTGGGGTCAAGCCGCAAGATGGTTGATTCAGGATGCCGCTCATCCGCTTGGAATTGAATCATTCAATCCCTTGCAGGCGTAAATTACTGCCGAACCCCCTATATTTCAATGTTGGCAGGTTTTGACGGAGGCTGGCCTGAGTGGACAAATCAAAATTGAAATTGTCCTTTCCTGAAGATGACATGGGGCCGGGTTGATGGAACTTGTCCCATACTGAAAACTTTGATGGTTGAAGCCTCGCTTCATGCATTACACTACAGTACTTCTATTCTACCCGTCTGTCTCCCTCAGCTCTTCAGCACCTTGAAGTACTCAAAGGTCAGATTGGGGATCTCTGTCGGGTCGCCCCCGGAGTCGACACCGTACTGGTTGTCTGGGAACATCGATTGGTTGGCTGTGCGGCCATGCGCGGCGTCCGGGTTGGAGTAGACACCCTTCATCTCGTTGAAAACCACACCCTTGTACTTGAGGGGCTCATCCTGCAAGGGAACTGATCAGCAAATCAGGTGACGGGTGAGTCTAATGATTTGGATGTGTTGGGATCTAGCATCCCAACGCACGACAAATAAGATCAAATAGGTGGTGGGGTGGGGCTAGGCAGAAACCTAAAGATTTGGCACCTGGGACAGGCAGGTGAGCAACCTGGTCCTTCTTCTCAATTTCATAGTGCCACCCTTCTTGTGCCAAAACTCGAGGATCATCGATGGCCCGAGGGAAAAAAACTGCATCCATGTAGACATCAATCAGATTGTAGAAGTCCTTCAAGTTGCAGCTGGCCACAGGGTAGCACGTCCGATCTGGAAAGGTCATGGCATTGAGGAAGGTCTGCAGGCTGGATTTCATAAGTTCCACAAAAGGCTCCTTGAGCGGATACTTCCGGCTGCCGCACAACACGGAGTGCTCCAACACGTGAGCAATGCCGTTGGAATTCTCCGGAGGGGTCCGGAAGACCACACTGAACGTCTTGTTCTCATCTGCCGGCTGCACCATGGACAAAAGCTCGGCACCCGTCTGGTCATGCTGGAAGACGTAGCCAGTGCAGCTGTACTCCTTGATGTGCTCAGCACGGACACACGTCCAGCCATGAAGCTTCTGTCCAATCTCATAAGTCTTGGTGGGCGCCTCAGCCACAGCTGTTGCCTGCATTGCCACCCGTTGTGGTTGGGCCTCGGCCTGCAGCGTGGTCACAGCGCGCAGTGCCCGCGTGTTGCCCGGCTTCCGTGGCATGGCACGGGAGGCCACGGCACTGCCACGGGCTGCACGACGGCAGGCAGCCACACCCGCCGTGCCAAGGAGGAACATGGGTAGAGCACCCGCTGCCGCGGAGGAGCTGGGCGCTTCAGCACCCCGTGAGGGCCGGTGGCTGTGCGGAAGGCGCGCAGCCGCGACGTGCGGCGCGACGAAGGCAGTGGCGGCCGGAGCCACGCCTACAGGAGCACTGGGCTGTGAGGACATGACGTCGAAAAAGGCACTGCTCGAGCCACAAAGATGCAACAAAACTTCAATTATTTTCGTGATTCGCTCACCACAAGTTGCCTAGACAAAGACACAGTGCCCAGGCACAGCTGCCTCAAAACCTCAGCTGGTCATGGCTGTATGACTGAGACAAGGAGCATGTAGTCACACAGTGCCTTCGCGATGGCAGGCCGCTGTGCATATTTTTGCAGATCTAAGGATTCCAAGCGGACAAATTCGCCACCATCCTGACCAGGCCCACACAGCTTTCTCATCCCGATTCATCCAGCGCGGACAACCAATGGCCATTCCGCAAAATGCAAATGTGATGTTTGACCTGTGCACCATAATCCTAGTGAGGTGGCCTGCAAACATATCAAGCAAACCTAACCGACCTAGCCCTGGCAGCCCTGGTCCTGATTCATTGAGGCGGTTCCCAGGCGAATTAGTCGACCCATCGAGGTGAGGGGCCTGCAACTCTCAGAGAGGCACGGGTGTCATTAGCAACACATCCGTCTTGCCGTCCCTCCTCGCAACTTCTGAAACTTGTCTCACAAGGTTGGTCCCATGAGTGAACATCATTAGTGTCACACTTACTCCCATGCACCCAAGCTCAAATAGAAATGGACTTCCTGAACACCCCTACGCATCCGCGCTACTCGCTCAGTCCATGGTTCCGGACCTGGAGGTCCCTGGACGGTTGCCCTGCATGGCTGTGGTGATATCCCGCCCCGCTGAGGAGCTCGTCGGCCGGTTGCTGCCCGGCCGCGCGAAGCCCGTCAGCGGTCGCCCGCTGGCGGAGACCGGGCGCACCACCTGGGTGGGCCCGCCGCCAGCTTCCTTAGGGAAGCCATCACTGCTTCAAAGATTTTCAAAGTAGCCTCCTTTGGGCTGTTGCATTTTCAGTGGCCCTTGTTGGGCCTCGACCATTGCGTAGCTGAGTCAAAAGGTTGCCTCTGTTGACTGAGTCCCAAGCTGTCCTGCACTGAACCAGCCAACTACGTCCTTTCAACTTCTCCGGGTTCCACTAACTAATATCGTCAAAGCTCTGTGCGTGGCCGGTTCAGCGAGGTCCCCGGCCTGGGCGCCTGAGCCACTGCGTTCCTCGGTGCAACCAAGGCCAACATTTAAAGAAGGAGACTGCACTGAGACCCCATGAAATCGTCCAAATAGATTGTTTCTGTGCTTTCATCCACCTTCGTTCTTGTTGTACGGGCGCAATGACCCCAATGGTCTCAATATGATGCACTTCCGAGGCTCTCATCCAGCAGCAGGTCGGCGACCCCTTCCTCGTCGATCCTCGGATGTGAAGCAGAGTACAGTAGCAGGAGGCAGGGCAACTGCCAGGCCAGTCCATCTGTTAAGTCAATGTGTTTCCAAAATATTGTATATATATATATATGCTCCAACTGAATCCACCATTCACTGCTGTGATCGTTACCTAGCTGATAGCAGTTCTTGCAAACCGGGTGTCTCAACATCGTCGATCCACTGCTTGGAGGTCAAAGCCCGGCACTTCAGGAACCAGGCGGCCTGGTCTCGCGGATTCCTTGGCATTCGGCCGTCTCTGTCGGCAGAAAGGAACTTCTGTCACTAATCTTCAGCTGATGACAAGCTTTAGGATGAAACAAAGTGCCACAAATTGCGCTCCTACATTATCTTCTCCATGGAGACCCTCAAAACAGAACCTCCATGCACCTCCATGCACGTGTACATGCACGGCCATTGTGGGGAGAAAGCACCAAGCTGCTGTTCCAAAAGCTCCGTGCAAATATCAATGCACTCATCCCATCTTCTCTGCCGAAAGCGGCTCACCGCGCGGAAGAAGGGATTCAACCCGTGTCCTTCGTGCAGCTTGGCTCAAGTGGCAATTGGATCCAACATGTGTCAAGCTCTCTGGACTCTGGACTCAAGACGGCCATGGTAATGTGGATCCTGACTCTCGGCGGGGTCAACCCAAGGTCATTCAGATTTGTGAGAGGCTGACTAAATCCCGAGACAGCTAGGAGTTTCGACATCTCACTCAAAGATTAGCAGCACCAGGAAACTGTGGTGGCTTCCAGCACAGCACAAACTGCAGAAGGTATTCCAGGCCAGTTCTTGGAAGCAAATGCTAGCTTCGGCAATGTGATGACTTTTTGGCACTTTGAGCAATTGACAAGAACGATATATATATATATACCTATATCTGTATTTGTGTCTGTGCAGGTGGGGTTATCCACCAAATAAAATCCCATCACAAGAACGGAAGTGCAAACGTTGGGTGATCCAAAGTCGTTCAGCAACTCCAAATCCCGCTGGCCTGCCTGGATCCCGGCTTGATGCTGCCATTCGCACAGCGCGCGGGTGTTCTTTGCCCACACGACTGGGATCTTGAGCCACTTGGCATCGTCGCCGTTCTTCACGTTATGTTGGTTTTCCAACGACTATACTATACCATGCAAGAACTATGCGACCTGATTACCTCAGATGTCTCATATCTATTAAATTACTCATATCACATCATTCCTCTGAAGATTGATTCTGACACCGACGGTGAACACACCAAGTGCGCACCATCTGTCGCAATCTCTGCACAGTTCGGCACAGGCGGGTGTACAAAGGATCCTACCAAAGGAGAACATGAAGAACGAAACTCGGTAAATGAAAACGCCAATGTCTTGTCACAACGGATTTGTGGCCATCTCGCCGCGCCACCCCCTCCCTTCCTTCATGACATCTAAGAGTCCAAGAGTCAAGAAGTTACCTGTGAGGCCGGTCCTCTGGTGGAACATCAGCATTCACGCCTGCCGAATTGGACTTAGTGACTAAGCAAACATGTTGCCAGGAAAGAATAAATGAACACATCTCTGGTTGTGAGACCGGTGCGCACAATTTCAGGACATTCAAGCTCACAGGTCTACAAATGTCTACAAGGACATTCATACTCTGCAAGCTGTGGAATCAAAAATACACGGACCGGTGCGCTCACATCGGTGTAAGTACTGCCGGACGTTTGAAAGAGCATGTGTGAGCGCAAACGTCCGGCTGCGACATCCCCCCACCGTCTGCCTGACAAGTTGGTTGGTTGCACGCAAACCTGCAAGCTGAAACTAAAGAGCCACAGCTTTAACAACCAAATGCAAGGGGTGCCCGTGATTCTGCACCCAATTCGGTTGCCCAATGCTGGATGCCATGGTCTGCCAGCTAGAAGCAGAACGACATACCTGTGCTATCGTACGATCGTCCAGCTCCACAAATCACTCTTTCCAGCTTGTGAAGCTCTCAGATTTGGGAACCCTTGCATTTAGCAAGGTCGGGAGGTTAGCTCATTCTTCAGGTCCAGGCATTCACATGCTATGGACACAAAGCACCTGGACCTACATTGTACCTACATCCCCATTTTAAGGATATGCTAAAGTGCGCGGCTAGAATGATGAGGTCTGAAGAACATATACATAAATAACATAATATCATAATATCTGTATAGTTGAATCAAAAGGGGCACGCCGGATTTTGATTCTAGCTTGCAGCTTCTCACGAGCCATCACAAGCCTGGATTCCTACAGTCCTAAAGGGTATCGACAAGGAAAGGTCATCACGTTGTCATCAACAGAACTGGGAGCCGCAGTCTCCTAACATCTTTAATTCCTTCCACGGGAGTCTCTCAGGTCTCCTTCTTCAAACTGCGCATGTTCAACGGTTGATGTGTTCTGCGGTTTGTTTCTCTGTTTCTCCATTTGTTTGTAACAGGCTTCCATCAGAAGCGGGGCTCATCAGAATCTGCGGCAACAGCTAAGCGAACTTGCCCAATCGATGCGCCCATCTCAGGTTGACCGACTCCATGCACAACTGCACCTCAAATTCACATGACATGTGGGGGGTGTTTGCTGCACGGCACATCAATTGGCTCAACGACCTACGTCTGGCGCGTCAACAGCTCAACCATGGCATTGGCAACAGCTCAACCATGGCTCTTTTCCCGCAACTCAGCAGCAGCAAGCCATTCAAGCCCAGTTGTGTCCCAAAGCTATTTAGATTTGGCTCACGCAAGGCAGGTGCCGGCCATAAATTGCACTCAGGACGCTCCGGGACGCAGAGTCACATCCTGAAAGCTGTATCCTTCAGCCTTGTTCAGCTGTTGAACAAATTCTTGAAAGACAGCCGGCTTGGAGTGTAACTCCGGCCACTCGAAGAGCTCCACCTCCACCATGCCTGACACTTTCCAATGGATGCCAGTGGTCAACTTGAGAAGAGGGAGACACGAAAGGTAGGACAGCGGGAAGAGAATAGAAGCATGTAAAACAGGCATTGAAGCGGTGGTGAGCGTAAAACGGTGGTTGGTGTAAACCGCGCAGGTGCGTAGACAGTGGTTGGTGTAAAACGTGGTTTGGGAGTAACGGTGGTTGGTGTACGACGACCGGGCAGGGGCCTCAACAGTGGTATTGGGGGGGTCTGTATTGAACAATCAATTCAAAGAGAGGTGGGGTTGAATTGAACTATCAATTATTAGACCCAGAGGAGCCCACACGTGCTTCGCAAGACAAACTCAAGGTATCCTCTGGGGGGCTACCTTTCGTGATAAGTTTTCCTTATGCACAGTGAGTGCGTGCTATCAGCAAGCATTGTTGGACATCCAAACCAAACAGGTACAAATCAAGAGTAGTCGTACTGAGTAGGCAGGGAAAACAATGAAGGACACCCGCTGGCCACCAAGAGGCCGTCCCATTGAGGGCTCAACCTCTGGTAGCTCTGCAGGCAGTACAAGCGCCGATTGCTCATGCAAAGCAGGTGCTCTCCATACCTCGCAGCACATTGCTTGGAATCCGAGGACGAAGACCGAGTCCCCTGGATGGGAAAACGGTTGGCGACGACTGGAGTTGGCTACAAACTTCAAAGCCCACATGGAGTTTGCTGGATGCCAGCCAGCCAAGCAAACGATGTTGCTTTTCTTCGAGGCCAACCACTTCCCGATCAAACAGCCGATGATGAATTCTGGATTTTGGGTGGGAGGCTTCTGTTTAAAATAACATATACATATACACACACATTCAGGCAGCGAATGACGAAGATATTGGGAAGGCATCATCACGCCAGAATATGCCAAATTGCTTCCCACACCCACGATCTCTCCCAACCCTTCCAATGCCTTACGACGGTGAGGCAAAACCAGGGGCCCAAAGCTTCGCCAGCGACAAGCTGAGCGATCTTCACCTGCAGACAATATGGGACAACAGGTTCAGAGCTCTGCACGTCTGCTTGCCCTAAAACTGCGCCCTATAAATGTTAGTCTTGGCTGTGGGAAACTCTGATAAACTCTGTGTCATGCCTATCTCTTGAAACTTGGCCCATCAAGAGCGGTTCATGACATTGTTAGGAAGCATGCTGCCACAACTAGCACTGGCGCTTAAGCCCTCTGCAGCAATGATAGAGGGGCTCACTTGGCCGCGGGGCTTCAGCATTGCTTGCGGTCCAGCTGCTCTTAAAGACTCCCCGTTGTGGAATCTGGAACTGATGCTGCTCTGCCTGGGAAAAACACTTCCTTTCCAATCGTTTCAGCAATTCCGGAAATGTTCAAAGCTTTTACTTCAACTCAGCTGCGAGAATCGAAGCTCGTCGCACTTGAGCTGCACAATCCGGCCATGCCCGGCCCCTTCTTGCACCTTGTGGCCCATTTGCTCCAGCGCAGCTAAGCCAGCCTTTGAGAAGCGGTAGTGAAACAAGTTGACTCTGGAAAAAAGACCTGCTGAACCTGATCAACACTCCCTCAAGCCCTACAGCTTGGTTTCTTCGGCTCCAAGTGTGGCACCTTCAGTGCCTCGCTGGATGGCCGCAAGGAGAGTTGCGGCAGTTCCACCAAGAGCTTCAGGACCTCGTCCCAAAGACCGGCCAAGGTCAAGGCCTTCAGGGAATTCACCGCCCCACGGGCGCCATCCAACAAACCCTATCCGTGCCTCGAAGCGAGCACCGCAAGCCATGTGACCAAACCGCACCTGAGTGAGGTTTACGCCGACGTGCATCATCGCTCGCGGAAACCACGTTAACCACGTTACGGGACGATTCAACGAGGCCAAGCAGGGCAAGGCCGAAGAAGGCCAAAGTACCTCCGCCTTGCTCATCGCGCCACTGAGCTGCAAGACCTGTCATGGTGAAGCTCCCAAAACAAGACCAAGTGAGACAAAGTCCTTTAGGAGAGAAAGAGAACATTTAAAGAAGGAAGAAAGAATAGTAAAGAAGAAACAGAACAATCAACAAGAATGAATAAGATTGTCAAAGATATCATATCCTTTAAATAAGACACCAAAAGGGGGCCTTGTTAAAGCTCCCCTTTACCTTATGTGTTTGATGTTTCTTCTCTTATCGTGCCTCCGGTCTAAGCCAAACAGGCAAATGACAAAGTCTCTGTCACGACTTCCCTCACATCTTCTGTGCCCCGCACCGCTTGCCATGCTCTGCCACGACTGCAAGCAGCCAGAATCGCATCATAGCCAGGGCTTTCGAGAGGCGAACCTAACATCGATGCAGCCTCAGCCAAGCACACATGACACATGCCCATGGGATTGAGCTAGCTTCATCAATGACGGACGGCCAATAGGGAACCTGCTGCAATTCGGATAATTACTGTGCTTCCGACATCTCAAATTTAAGTTGTATCTAATATAAATATGAATGCACACCTGGGGCATCATGGGGTCAAACCTTGCTGACCTGGCCTCACAAAGGTATAGAGCCAAGCACCATTTGTGGTTGTACTCCAGGGTTGCAGCGGCAGCATTGACGGCGATGATATTCTCCGCCAGGCGTTGAGCGGCAATCCTATTGTGCATGCACCAGGTCAGATTCACGCGTATCTGCAGTGCATGATTGCATATGCACGATCAGGTGCGCAATCTTCACCAACACGTTCCAACCGGCCTGCCGAGCAATCGAATGCCCAAGGCCCAACGCTCCTGCACCGCACTGATGGCAGCAGTGAACCTGTGGCAAGGTGTGGGCAGTCGTGGACTTCTTGCAGAAAAGAGTTGAAGCACAACCGCTCAAATCAGTCACTTCCCAAGGAGTAGGACTAGCTAATTATTTTGTTGTTTTGGATGATTCTTTTATATACCAAGTCTGGTGACTTGAGTCCAGAATAGCCACCTCAGTTATCCAGCTGGCATCCACAAGGCTCAGGCGCCATACAGTAGCATACGGCATTGGATTCTTCCGCAGACACCATCTCCAATCTGTCGTCCTCCTGTGTTGAGCCAGGTTGCGCAACACCATCGACTTGCACCTGTTGTAGGCCACAACAACGCAGAAGCTCCAGGGCTTGGAACCAGCTGTCCCCTGCTGCCTTGAACAACGCAACATCATCGTTGCCAATCACACACTCGCACCCATAAAAAAGAATGACTTGGAATCAGAGATTCCTGGGTTGTCCTCATGATGCCTTTCATTTCACAGGAGCCTAGCTTGCTACAACTCAACGGTTCGATCCAGGTCGACGTCTGATTCGGTAACCAAACGGTCTGATTCGGTAACTATGGTTCGATAACTAAAAGCGCTGATTCGATAACTAAAAGCGCTGATTCGGTAACTAAAACGTCTGATTCGGTAACCAAAACGTCTGATTCGGTAACCAAAACCGCTGATTCGGTAACCAAAACCCGCTGATTCGGTAACCAAAACCGCTGATTTGGTAACCAAAACCGCTGATTCGGTAACTATGATTCGATAAAAAAACCGCTGATTCGGTAACCAAAACCCGCTGATTCGGTAACCAAAACCGCTGATTCAGTAACCAAAACCGCTGATTCGGTAACCAAAACCAGGAAACCAAAACCAAAACATTTCCAAAAGAAGACACTGATGTCCTGGGTAGTGGTAGTAGTAGTAGTAGTGGTGGTAGTAGTAGTAGTAGTAGTCGTAGGTGGTGGTAGTGCCACCAATGCGAAACCCCTGGTGCCGTCCACCATTAGTTCTTACTTGAATGAATGTAAAAGCCCTTTGCATCCACATGGAACGTCATTATCTTGGCCATGGTTCCCCCCCACCCCCCACCCCACACTGCTCCTACCCTCCACTCTGTTCAGCCATTTGCATGTTGATACAAATCAACTCATATAAGAATGAATGTAAAATCCTTTTGCATCCACATGGAACGTCATTGTCTTGACCATGGTTCCCCCCCCACCCCACACCCCTCGGGCCGTCCACCATTAATTCTTACTTGAATGAATGTAAAAGCCCTTCGCATCCACATGGAACGTCATTATCTTGGCCATGGTTCCCCCCACCCCCCACCCCACACTGCTCCTACCCTCAACTCTGTTCAGCCATTTGCTGTTGATACAAATCAACTCATATAAGAATGAATGTAAAATCCTTTTG